GGGCGGTCCATCGCGGTGACATCACTGGCAGGCAAGTGGGAGGCTTCTCCGGCCCTGCTGCAAAGGTCCGCCATTTCTCCGGCGCGACTCTGCCAGATTTGGCGGACTCCGCGCTGGAGAAATTTGCGCGGCGCGTGTCCGCCAAATTTGGAAGAGCCGCGCCGGAGAAAATGGGAGGGGTCCGGAGCAGAAAATGGGAGGTATCCGGAGCAGAAAATGGGGGGTATCCGGAGCAGAAGATGGGAGGTCTCCGGAGCAGGCTGCGTATCGATTTGGCGCGTAGCAAGCAAACGTCTAACTCCACGGTGATGAGTCCTCTGTTTACGCTCTTTGTCCATAATTTAGTCGCCGTTTCTTTGATTTTGTTGTTTTTGCGCGTTTCTTTATCGTTTTTTTTCCTTTTTCGCGTTGCTCTTCGTCGCGTTGGCGTTTATGTTGCTGTAAGCTCCTCGTTTTCAGGTTTATGTTTGAAATTTTCGTGCGGTTGCACTCAATCACCTTCAGTGTTTGGCTCTTTCCGACTTGCTGAGACATCGTAGACTATTGATGGAGTGGTTTTTGTGATTAATTCTGGATTTTCGAAACAATGAGGTTAGTTGCGCAACTGTCTAGTGTTGTTGTGATGAAAGTATCGTCTAAATAATCCGTTTATTGCTATCTCTCTCGTACGTATGCTTACCAAGTCGATCGACTTTTCATCAGACGTTGCAGATCCTCACTATATCGTTTTTGGCTTGAAAGATAGGACAAGGCAAGAGATATGTTGACAAAAGTCTTGGAGGCAACTCCAAACGATGTTGAAGTTTTGATAGATCTTGCTCAGCTTCTGGAAGGAGTTGATCCGCATGTTAGTTTACATCATCAATTACTTTTACAAGTTTTGACAACCGGCTCTTCTAGAAATCGCTCACTCTCTATGAAAATGCTTGTGATCTCATAAAAACGAGTGAAAGTGGTTTACAAATTGATGGAGTGGAGGGAGTGAAGAAGGATAAAGAAAGTTTGTGAAGGGGCGTGGCGCGTGCCGCCTTTGCAAAAGCTAAATCACTAATATGCACAGAAAGGTAAACACAATTTAGTAATTCAGTGTGAAATGACTGTTGCGAAACCTCCAAATAAAAACCAAAAAAGGTGACGGTCTCGCAAAGGTTTTCGGAGTGCACGAATATTTACTGAACCACGTCATGACCGAAATTTTTCGTCTCCCCCCTCCCCCCCGCAAAAAATTTTGGGAGAGCCACTAGTATGTATGCGTCAACGGTGCTTGGTAAATTACCTTTAAACTATTCTAGATCTGTATGTACAACGATGGCAGCACTGACTCGACTGTAACGTATGCCGAATCACTTATATCAAGGTTTCACGAACGGAATGTTGGTTTTCGAACACGTAGTGGCACGGAAAGTGGAGGTACCTTAAGTTTTGTCGTTTTTATAGTAATAATAGACGAAACGGCTTTCGCATCAAGTCTTTTCATCTTGGTAGGTGTCGGCTTTGCGAAGAACCAAGCGGTAAAAATGTCTTCTGGACGGTTTATCTGTTTCTGTGATGCGGATGATGTTTCGGAGCCAAGCAGATTACAGGAACAGTACAACTTGGCGATTTCTCAGAGGAGCGATTTGGTTTTTATTGGTGAGCTTGTCCAAATTCAACTTTCTTCGTCTTGAATAAGGGTCTTCTAATAAGCACAATCTCTTATGTGACCTCGGCAAATTCTTGAGATTTCGCATAAAACCCGTTTATCCCATTACAACCTTGATTTATTTTTTCTTGTTAGATGTTGTACAGCTGTATCACTTTGCCCATTGCGTAGGTAGTAACTTCACCAGAATATCGGAAGGATCCACTGAACGCTATACTAAATGGACCAATGATTTGACAAACGAAGAATTGAAATTGCAGGTATAATCTCGGATCGTACAATCTTGTTGTTGCCCATCGGTGCTGAATGTGCTTCTACTTTAGGGGTATACGTCGCATGGGCCCACTCTTATAGCTCCTACATGGTTCATCTCAAGAAAACTCTTTTCTGCGGTAGGCGGTTAAGACGACGTGCGCTTTGGGTTTCCCGAAGATCTCGATTTTTTCTACCGTGCATTAGACATCGATGATGTTGCATTCTCTAAAGTACGTTATTTGCAAATCCGTAATGCATATATATTGCTTTCGTCTCTTCAGGTATGTAAACCCCTAGTGAACTATCGTTATCACTTCGGATTGGTGTTCTTTTGGTGTTTCCGAAGCTGCTATATGGAACATGCGTGTTAGTCGCTTCTGCAGTCATGTGCTTCCTTTCTGGAAAACATTCACAATTTGGAATGCTGGCAAACAAGGAAAGCGATTTTTCAAGTGAGGTGAAATCTGCGCTCTTACATGCCCAAAGGTGAATCAGTTTCGAGGTCCCTTTCCGAAAGTGATAAAGTTGTATCGTTTTGCGATGTCGACGTGAAGAAGATCAAACGAGCATGGCTGGAGGATTATGACAAAAAAGCACGAGTAGTTCGGTGGAAACTACCCATTGTTCATGTGAAGTGAGTTAGCATTCTGATGTGATTTGTGGTCAATGGCACCGATCACCCAAAATAGGGTCCATGAGATTTTGAAAATGATTTGGGGTCCATGAGACGTTGAAAATTGAGCCAAAAATCATCTGGGCAGCAAATGGAATAGGTACGTTTCGTATCGGAACAAATGACTAAATTTCTACTTCTTTTTCGATCAAAAACCGTATGTTTTGGTTTAGGCTGCGTATTAGCATCGAAAGCAATGTGGCAAGATGCCCGTGACATCTTCGCTCAAGTTCGTGAAGCTACCTCGGAATTCGAAGATGTTTGGATGAATATAGCTCATGTATATATCGAACTTGGACAATATGTTCCCGCCTTGCAAATGTGAGTTTATGGCGTTCCTCGCTGTTTTGTTTCATGTTGCACAGAATGCTTTTTTGATCTTTTTGTCATTTTCTTACCATGTTAAAACCATATGCTTATACTGTGGTGTTACAAGGTTCTTTTTGGAACTAGGAAATTAGTTTTTCTTTGAATATTCTTATCTCTAACTCCTAGTATGGTTTTTGTAATATGAATTAACTGTTGTACGTATGCTGGAGATAGATAGATAGATTTTTCGAAAGTTTGAAAAATTTGAAATAAATGTCTTATCTCTTCGTTCTTTCTTCTATCTTCTATCCACAAACGCTAGGGGTGAGAGGGAGGGGGTAGAGTACGGGGTGAGGGTCGCGCTAAACTCTTACCCGGGGGGGGGGGGTCCTATTCGGCTTATTTGGGTGGGATTTAGAGACAAAATTGGGGTTTGGAGCTTAAAGGCAGCGTCCAGGCAAGTCTGGACCTATGGGGATTTTACATGGAAAGTACTTTTGGGGCCCTAACTAAGCCATTACCCAACCGGCAGCTCAAGTAGTGCTCTAACGCCCGAGATATTCTGCTCGAAACCGGACCCCGCGACAGTGTTTCGCATGGATTCATGGCGCAAAGCGTGGATCCTGGCGCGAAACTGCCATGAATCCATGCGAATACGTTCGCGGGGGTCTGTTTCGAGGGGAATATCTCAGCCATTAGAGCACTACCTGAACTGCTGCTTCGGCAGTGCCTTAGTTAGGGCCCCAAAAATACTTTCCATGTAAAAGCCCCATAGGTCCAGATCTGCCTGGAAGCTGCCTTTATAGGGCTAATTACAGTATGCCGCGGCAGACTTGCGGAGCACAAAATCGGGGGGCTCCGGCGCACAAAATCGGGAGGCTCCGGAGCAGAAAATGGGAGGTATCCGGAGAATGGGGGGTATCCGGAGCAGAAAATGGGAGGTATCCGGAGCAGAAGATGGGAGGTCTCCGGAGCAGAAAATGGGAGGTATCCGGAGCAGATGTAAGGTTCGGGAAAATATGCGAGTTCTGTCTTTTGTTACCTTCCAAACCGAACCTCAACCTTGAACATCATGATCATTATTAACTAGATTTATCACTGAACCGGCTCAGTACAAAGCATTAGATAAGGGAAAGCATGACCACAAGACAATAAACAGTAAGCAGTAGCATGGCTAGGCAATGCAAAGAGCTGAAAACTCAGGAGCGAGCTGCATTCCTCAGCTCCAGCCGCAGCCCAGCATGGGGCGGGGTGACTGAACGTCCGAGACCCTGCGCCCTTCTATTTATACCCGCTCGTTGGAGAACGACGAAAAAGAACACATGACTAGTAAGTGCATTAAATGTGAGATATGGTGCATAGCCTGCACATCTCACCTCCTCCGAGAAGTTCCGTCTCGGAACTTGTATAACATATAGGTAATAAGTTGGTGATTGAAATAATAGATAGACTCGGAGTTGTGGGCAAGAGCGAGTAAAGCACTATCACACTATTAATGCTACGTACAGATAAGACTATGAATATATAGTGTTATCCGGTGAGCGGGGTTAAAAGAAGGGATGTATTAGGTCTGGACAGCGTTTGCGGCAGGAAGATGTGGAATTTAGCTTTACAACCCAGTAGTTTGTAATGATGCGGAAGTAAGGCAATCTTTGAAATATGCCACAAAAACTTCTACGAAATAGTAATAATGTGTGAGATCTATGCTTCCATTGGATAATTAATAACACAACTAATAGTAGAACAACACGTTCTTAAAGAGAGGAGAAATGAAATTAAATACGGAGAAATACAACTAATTGAAACACATTATACATATACGTGAAGATGACGTAATCATAGATGAGTCACTTCATGTGCTAGAAGAAGGCATGAGTCATTTAGAATGCACTTCAATGCGCGGAAATGACTTCATTGACTTTGTTGATGTTATGATTGATCGTATATTTGGTTTCTTCTCAAATGTGTTGATTGATACTGTTTGAATGTCGTTGATTCGCAACCATCTCGATTAGTAGAATTATAAAATCAGCTTGATGACGTTGTTGTTGTAGGATGGCACGATTAATCGATCGGGGCTTTTGTCCAAATCGTTGCTTCGAGCGAGGGAGTTGTTTCGCCATGACGAATAAGACCATGTGCGTCTGCTACGAAGTATCTGCTTTCGACGACTGTCGAGAGGAGGATAACAACTCGATTACAACGGCCGTTCCTGTTACTAATGGTTATCCAAAAGAGCCGTTTGATATGGTGATAGCCGTAGCGATTGGTGGTGCCGGTAAGTTTCAAAAGTAATAAAAAAAAGTCGAGTTGTCTCCTCTCTTGGATTTGGACTACGCTAAAGGAAGACAAAGAGACGAAAAAAAAAAGAATTAGTAGCAGTATCTTTTTTTTTTGAATTTTATTTTCAGTGATCCTGCTACTGCTGTGCCTATTGCTGATTATGGTAAATGGCTGTTGTGTTTCTACTAGGAGGCGGCGTCGCGTACCAGCCCGAAGAACGAAAAGAGGTGTGACCGGCGTTCTTGTGGCGACTGACCCATTTGCACCGAACGAAACAATGGTATAATTACGTCCACTTATGGGAATCAAATAGTGCTTGATTTTTTTTTCCTTCTCTGATCTCTTGCCTTCAAATCTCAACGAGATCTCTACGTATTGTTGCCTTACTTTAGCATGAATAAAAGGTGTAAATGATTAGATGTTGGCTAACAAGCGACGAAGCAAAAGCGTAAGCTTTTTTTTTTTTTTTGAGGTTCATTACGGCGTTGGCGAGCTAGGTGGTGATTTGTAAAGTTTGGTACGATTCATATGGATAGTCCTAGTCCTATTACCGTCACGGATGGTTATATTTGGCTTTTCGATGTCCAAAATTTCAAAAGGTCCGTCAAATCGCGGGGCAATTTTTGGTCCTACGTCTTTCCTGATCAAAACTTTATCGCCAATCTGATAATTTGCAGACTGCGCGCGTTTCCTCAGATCATAACGATGTTTTTGCGCGGTTTGAGCGGACTCAATATTCTGATGAACATGCGTCCATACATTTTTGAGGATTGGAACTAATTGGTCTGCATAATCTTCTTCGTTCGCGAATCTTTTTGAAGGCAATTCTAAAGCAAGACGGAAGGGGTTATTAGGCTCTTGACCATGGACTAAAAAGTGAGGAAGCGGAAGCGGAAGTTAGCGGAAGCGGAAGTTATTTGATTTGGAGTAAAGAAGTTTCTTGGATACTATTAGCTGCAGCTTGGGTGTCTTTTCTTTCTCCCTCAGTTATTATATCACTTCTATTAAAGTTGAAACTAAAAGTTACTTACGATTTTCTTTGAAGAAACGAACGGTGCCGGATGGACGACAAGACTCGAATGGTACCGGAAATAGGCTTATTAGGTGTTATATAGGGGCAGCGTGATTAGAATCGCGTGGAAATTGACGACTTGCCCTCGTACGATGTAGCGCTTGCATTTGGGATTAGATGCTCCGGGGAAATCATCAGTCGTAACAATCTGTAAAGCTCTTGACCTTTTGTTTGCAACGCCCGGAGGAAACACCATTAATAGCGTAGCGAGGAAATTAATGAGTACGGCGGATTACCCATTCTACGCACGCGATGACTCTACGCGCACGACCTTGTCCTTTTGGTTTGCAAGCACAAGTGCACATTTCAGTACTGCAACCTTGCAAGGCCTTGCAGAACGATTCATTATTGTACGATTTAAGCAGGAACAAATGAAGGCCAAATGCATTTCCTGTCTACTTTTCTTAAGAATGTAGCGTACTTGGACCTTCAACTTATATTCCGCTAGCTTATATGGTGGGAAACAACTAAGAATAAAAGAGACTTGAAAGGGCTGAGTTGCTAAAATTGACAGGGGGGGGGGAGAAGAATACATAAAATTAAAGCTGTTAAGGAAGCCAATATTTTCTTTGTTTCTTTTTGTTTTAACACAACGCTCGGTTAGTATTATTACGCGCCGCGAAGACCGAGTGTACCTGGCCAGGATTTTCTCGCTTCGTATATTACCCGTGTTTAATACTAATGTCACACTTACCGGCGCCTCCTTTTATAATCTTATTACTTCACGGCAGATAATGAAGCGGGTGTGACTCCTACATATTTATATATTTATATTTTTATTTGTTTATTAAGTGGAGCAGAGAAAGAAGATAGCGAAACTGAGCCCTTTACAAAATACCACCAAAATTCCGGCTGTGCACTTTTTTTTTCTCCTCCACGTAACGCTAAACTTTTGAGAATAAGTAATCAGTCGAATGAAAAAGGAATAAAATTTATGTTTGATGGAAGAGAGTAAAAGAAATATCTGAAAATCAAAAAGTCTTATTTTTTCTAGTTTGAAAGCAATCTCACCTGGCTAAGCTAATTTCGCCTACTTGATCTTATCTCGGCTACCTGAACTGATCTGAATCCCGCCGGAACCTCCATGTAAGGTTCGGGAAAATATGCGAGTTCTGTCTTTTGTTACCTTCCAAACCGAACCTCAACCTTGAACATCATGATCATTATTAACTAGATTTATCACTGAACCGGCTCAGTACAAAGCATTAGATAAGGGAAAGCATGACCACAAGACAATAAACAGTAAGCAGTAGCATGGCTAGGCAATGCAAAGAGCTGAAAACTCAGGAGCGAGCTGCATTCCTCAGCTCCAGCCGCAGCCCAGCATGGGGCGGGGTGACTGAACGTCCGAGACCCTGCGCCCTTCTATTTATACCCGCTCGTTGGAGAACGACGAAAAAGAACACATGACTAGTAAGTGCATTAAATGTGAGATATGGTGCATAGCCTGCACACAGAAATGGGAGGTCTCCACCGGAGAAATGGGAGGGCTCCGCCGGACAAATGGGAGACTCACCGCTGGGGAGACGCCGCGACCCTGCCATTTCTCCGGCGGAGGGGTCCTATCCGCTGTCTGAGTTCCCTCAACCTAGTGTGCTACAAAGATTGCAGAGACAAAAGACATATCAGGGAACCGCTGCATCGTTACATGTCCGTACCGGATGTAGATGGTCGTGTTGGAGCTGTGAACTTTACAGATGTCACATAAACACTTACAGCTCACGAGATGATATTTCGGGAAAAGCAGTTATGGTAATACACTCGTTTTTGTTGTTCATTTTTGATTTCTTTGCAAAGATCCAGAATGATTCCAAAGCTTTTCTAGCCGAGATCTCTTTACAAACGTTAGAATTAGACTTTGATATCAAAGTCTTCAACCGTGCGATTTTTGCTTGTGTCTGCCAAGCGGCGAAGCCAAGTTGTTGCGCCTTTTATCTGTCAAATGTTCTTCAATGCGAATGCTAAGCGTCCTTCCTGCTTCCTCAATATAGCGTGCTTTACATTTCAGGCACTCATACTAATATAGAACACCCACTCTTGCACAATCACCCGCTCTACCGTGCGGACATGTGACCATTGCTCTGTATCGCAGTGCTGATCGTACAGACTATTACCTACGAGCTGTGTTTGATATTATCGTTCGGGATGTTCACTAACATAATATCATTTTGCAGCTGCCACGAACGATGTATTTTTAAATGGCTACGCTGATCCTATCAGAGATGATTGGTAAGCAGAGAGGGAGTCTGTCATCAGCCCAAATGTTGTTGCCTTTTTTCGATGATGAATGTGCTGTCAAGAATGGTAGCCGTTACTGCAAGCTATTTGGGTGCTAGTTTCCGTGACTCGCATAGATCAAGCTCTCCGTTGCACATCTGCATCGCGGTTTAAACATATACCAATGACGGTACGTTTAACAACAACAGTGCAGTTTTATAACAATGAGGATGTTCTTGGAGCTTTCTCTGCAATACCATTGACTCTTAAACGCCAGCGGTCACCTTTACTTGGCTGTTAAGATATGGCCCAACCATCGCGTGGAGTCTTAAGCATGAGCTTGATATACTGTGACAGTTGGTTTAGAATTTGGAAACACTCTTCCACTTTGGAGTGCGCCGAAGTCGTAACACAACAGTCATCGATGTAACGACAGTACACCAGTGGCCTAGTATCGGCCCTTTGGTTCTGCTCGTTAAGCACATAACGAGATCTGGTGTCAGCCTTTGAATCCACGTATCTGGGAGTAATGAGTTCTAGACTATCTAAGAATAGTACACTGGGTATTCGTTCTCTAGGGCCATCGTATGCGCTTTGCTGGGTTTAAATGTGTTTATAGTAACAGCATAGAATTGTTTCAGAGTGCCACACTGGCCGCAGCAGACTGCAGCAGACTGCAGCTGAGTACTGACCGCAGCAGACTGCAACGGCCGCAGCGGCTGAAGCCTAAAAGTGGAGAGGATAATTAGTTGTGACTCAAGCAAACAACAACAATATGTACCTAAAACAAAGACAACATGGGCTAAATTTACAAACCAGGTATATGCAATGATAGAAAGAATTAGAACAAATACGAACATACCAAAGAAAACTATTGCCAAAATTTGATTGAGAAGAATTGTGGTGAAACTTATGATATTTAAGCGTAAATCACGCTGTTTTGATAATCCCGGTTGTTTCTTTTACGAAAGGAGGCAGCGATCGGTGCGGTCAGTGCGGTCAGCTGCAGTCAGCTGCAGTCTGCTGCTTTCTGCTTCAGTCTCCTGCAACTGCTGCAGTCTGCAGCAGCCTGCTGCGGTCAGTGCGGCGTCTGAAACAACCCATACCTATTCAATAACTTAACTGAACTTTGCTTGAGAAAGGCAACGTTGGCTTAGTAAATTTTGGAAAAAAGTCAAAAATTCAGCGTCACAGTGTGCATACCGTTGGAAGCCGAGAAGTACGGTAGCGGAACACTTTGTAACTGATTTCGATATCCCCAAAAATTTTAGCTTGACGGCCTTCGGCTTTTTTCGGAGTTTTAGGAAGCAATTCTCGTATATTAGAAGCCAAAATTAGTCGAAAATTCCTACCGCAAACCTACAGTAACCAAAAGTAATCAGTGGTTCGCTCCTTACCATAAATCTAAGTTGAAGATATCCCTACCGCATGGCACCCAAAGATCTGCAAAAGCTTTCCATATAAAGAAGTAATTGAAGAGCAAACGTTCGATTCCTTTTTTGGACACCCTGTATTTATCAGGTTGTTTTGAAAGTTTAGTTCATTTTTTTCAACGCTCACTAAAACTCACAGAACAACAATCCAAGTTTGACGGCCCCATTTGATTCAAACTTTTATCCCCTATCTTGCAGCTATATTTGCCTGATCTACCCGTCTTTGCAAAGTTATCGCCATGGCTTTTTAAACAGCTCACAGTAACGCCGAATCTTTCCTAAACTTTAAAAAATTTTTATCCTGAGGTTTTCAAGCGCTGATAACTGTTAGGTAGGACAAACATTTGACTACACTGCAACCATTTTGATTACATGGGCCACGCTTACCAAGTTCATTATAATTATTTCTTCAATAAAAACCGCGGCTTTTTGATTACATTTACCACGAAGTCACCTGTTCAGGATCGCTTCGATTTCAATGGTAACTGTGGTTAGCTCTTCAAAGCTTAGCACTCCTTTGCCCAGAGTTTGTAGAGCGTTTGTTTTACGGATTTTATCAGACGT